ACTGATAAAAGGCAGCCTATGATAAGCCAGTGTGGAGCCGAGCAGCCTGAGCTTATCATGGTTGGGTCCCGAAAGCCCGAGACCTTGCTCCAGGTAGATGGACCCCAAGAGGAAACCATGTTTGGGGCCGGCGTGGATGTGAACGAGTATGGCGTAAGCCTCCATGGCGATGTGAGATGTAGCGTGCCCAGGTAAGGTCACACTGATGTGGATAGGTACAAAGATTGCCACGCCACCGCATCCCTGTGTTGCACCGCCCCCCCCCCCAGGTCGGGCCGCAGTCATGAAAGGTTGCCACCCTGAGCTGCGTGCCCATTCCTGCGCACGGGCCAATCGATCACCCCGTAATTTGTGTTCCTGCACAACCACAATGGCCCCACGAGGTCCTTCTTCCAAAAGGGCCTTAGCTTGAGGCCAGCCGCTGGAATTGAAAGTAATCAAGCGTACCGCAGACTTTCTTGAGGAGGCTTTCGGGGCGCGTCTCCATGGCCGAGAGGAGCCACCATGTGAGCCAGCACTAGGTAAGCGAGACCGTTTCGGAGCCCGTTGAGGCCCTGTGTCGGTGACCCGACGCTTCCGCTTCCTTCGCCCAAGAGAGGGCCCATTCGGGGCCACTTCAGCACCAACCCTGTCCGAGGCCGTGTCAGCATCGATATCCAAGGAATGACACTGTGTACCCTCTGCGACCGCAATTGTGGCAGAGGCGGGTGGGTTGCGGCTTGTCCCGATAGGGATGCTGCGATTAGCCAGGCGCAGCGGGCCCGATATGCCCTGGAAACTCATGTCGGCAACCCGCGTGGTATTCAGGCCGTGCATGTAGAGAGCGTTGTTCGGACCGTCGCCCTGGGTGACCTGAACGTCGAGCTGCATAAAGTTGATGGAATCATCACCTCCTTCATCAGCATCAGCGGGTCCTGGGTCGGGTTCAAGGCCGTCTTCATCACTGCTGGTGTTGTAGGGCTCCTGCGTAGGGATGGCCACGTCGATAGACTCAAGGGGCCCATGGTACCATCGCTTTTCAGCCAACTGCAGGCGTCGTAAGGCGGCGAGGGCCTTGCGTGCCTTGGCGACGTCGTCGCCCTCGGCAGGTTGAGCCCCTGCGGCGGCGTCTGGGCCCGTGGCTCGGCGCCCAAGGGAAGTGCTGCGAGGCCGTCGACCCTGACCTTGAGGAACCGCTCCAGTCGGGTCTGGCCTACCCTGCTTGTCCCGCCCGCACATGTAGCACCTCTCGTTGGTGCTGAAGTTGCGGGCGAAACCGCACTGCCTGGTGGCGACGCAAGCCCACCGCTCGCCACCAGGATCACCAGCACCGCGACCACGACGACCAGCCGCTGCGCCTGCATCTGGCGCGCGGCTACGACCAGCGCCGCGGCCCATACACGGCGGGCGTGAGCCGTGATGTAGGTGCAGGAGGCGAGAGTCCTCCTCACAGCGAAGGCGACGGCGCGCGGCTGCACAATGCCTGCGCAGCCTCCGATGCCACGCTGGGGAGCGTGACCGTCCAGTGTCCTCAAACCCCGCGGGTGAGGCAGCAGCCGCGCTGGCGGCTGGCGCGCCAGGCAGAGCCTGGGGCGGCTGGGGGCTCCCGATGGCGGGCTCCCGCGCCCCCGCGGCGGGCAATGGCTGCGGGGGGGCGAAGGGGGGCCACGCGGGGAGCCACCTGAGGGGGAGAGGGGGAGGAGGAGGGGGAGGAGGAGGAGGGGGGAGGAGGAGGAAGAGGAGGAGGAGGAGGAGGAGGAGGAGGAGGAGGAGGACGATAGGGCGGCTCCTGATGTGGTTATAGGCCATCTCCGCCCGTCGTGGCAGGTCCCGGGCCCGAAAAAAAACGGCACGCCTCGAGCACGGCAGGCGAGAAGCGCACGAGGAACCCAGGGAGAATCAGCGGTCGTTCCCGCTTGGGGGCCCTCTGCTGGCCGCTGCTTAGAAGGAGCTGATGGGAGCCTGCGGGCGGCAAGTTTTCCGAATTCGTTTTGCCCGTCGGCGCGGGACGGGACCCGCGCCACGGTAATGTCGGGGCCAGCCAGGCAGTGTTCCCCGCGAGGCCCCAGGCGGCCCCTGGATGTCAGGAGCGGCCAAAGCCCACCGAGAACCTTCAAACATACCCTGCCACAAAGGAAGCAACAAAAACGGCACGAGCGTAAACTCTTGGAGGTCCGCGCGGGTTCCTTGCATCTGGGCTCGGATCCCCTCCACGGCACGCGGAACGCGCCATGGGGCAGTTCCGGAGGCGCCGCCAGGGGGGGCCCAGCCTGGATCCAAGAAGTCCGCGCCGAGCGCGCCGACATGTGTTTCTGTTTTCTCTTAAGTGATACACGACTGCTTAGTTATATAATGTATGTAAATATAAATATGTAAATGGATATATATATATATACAACTATAGTGGCGGTTTACCGTCTTTTCTGCTCATGGCTAACCGACCACGGCCGATCATGAACCCCATGGGATAATAAAATTCGGTGTTCTGGCGGGGATCATACAGGATTTTCCCGGGGAAGGTAAGTTATGATGGTGATGCTGCTGATGATGATGCTGATGTTGTTGATGATGATGATGATGGTGACGATGACGATGATTATGATGATGGTGATGGCGGCACAAGACTCACTCGAGAGATCTCGAGGCTCGTGACGAAGCAGGCGCACGACACAACCGTGGAGGACGCGCTAAACAAAATAACTCACTTAACTCCAATGCTCTGCCAGCTCGAGAAACGCTTGCACAATCAAAATCCAATCGCTCCCTAATTATGGCCCTGCCACACGTTCCTGACTCGGGAACGGCTAAGAAAATGAGAATCCCATGGCCCTGCCGCACGTTCGTTATGTGGGCAAACTGATATGGTGAGAACCCCACAGCCCTGCCACACGCTCGTGATTGCGGAATCTGGTGTGGTGAGACCACCATGGCCATGCTCAGCGTTTTTGATGCTGTTGCTAGTCAACATGATATGATGGCAACTTCGATCCCCGCAACCTTCCCGTGGATTACAAAGTTCGGCCTCCGCGCCTTCCTCCACAATTAAATCCTGTTGGACGGGGAGGCTTTTGACTTGAGGCGTCTTGGAGGCCCTGGGTGAGGCTGCATCGAGGCCACTTTGGGGCTCCCCGGAACGCTCCGGGCCCATGCCCGAGGCCTCCGGGCTCGTTTGGAGTCGGGTCCTGGAGAGTCTCTTGGCCCGCCTTGGGCGCCCCCCGGCCTCGCGCTCTCAGGAGAAGGAGCTCTCCTCCTCCTCCTCCTTCTCCTCCTCCTCATCCTCCTCCTTTTCCTCCTCCTCGTCCTCGTCCTCGTCCTCGTCCTCCTCCTCCTCCTCCTCCTGCTCCTGCGATCGACGATCTGTAGGCGCACCCCCTGGCCAGAGCTGGCGCCCTCGGCTCCCGACGTCCGCCGGGGGGGGGGGGGGGGGAAAGCGGGGGTTGCCGCCAATCCCCCTCCTCGACCCTCCTCGCCCCTCCTCGATCCTCCCCCTCCTCCTCGAAATCCTCCTCGATATCCTCCTCCCCCCTTTGCCCCCCCCCCCCCCCCCCCTCCCCCCTCCCTCCTCCCCTCCTCCTCGACCCTCCTCCCCGCCCCCCTCCCCCCCGAGCTCCTCTCGCTGCCCTCCCCTTTGCGCCCGCGTGCCCCCCCGCCGACCCCCCGAGCGCCCGCGCGCCTGGGAGGAGCTGCACAGAAAAAAAATAAAAAAGCCCCGGCTGGTCATCGCTCGGACGTCCATTCCCTGTGTTTTTTGGTCGGCTTCGTGCGTGTTGTTTTTCTTTCCGCCAAATGATCAAGGATGCTCCTCAATGGTCCTCGTCGAAGGAAAAGTGCACACGTCCGAGCGATGCCAAGCCGGGGGGGAGGCCCCGCCCGCCCGCCCCGGGCGGAGGCTCTCGGAGAGGTGCGCGCCGGGAGCACGAACGCAGCATCCTGGCTATGGGACGTACTCGTCAAGGTGGCGCTCCTGCCACTTCGTGAGGGAGACGAGCACGGCGCCAAAAAGATCCACAAGGCACACGAATTGGTTTGCCACGCAGTCCAGCTGGAATGGCAAAACAAACATGGTCGCCGGACTTCGTATATTCTGCCGTGCCAGTCAAACAGCTTAGCCGACTCCATGCAACCCACCGCAAGCGGACACCATGAACAACAACAACACGGATATCGAATGCTACACCTGCTGCGCCGAAGCCTTTGAAAGAATTGCCGTGTCGCACGTTGTGGTTTCCGAAATTGGCGACGACGCGATGCCGAAGAGATACTAACGCCATGCTCAAAAACACACTGAAGTTCTGCGTGATGTTCTAACCATGTGCAATCGAATGGGAACAACTATTACATTCCTGATTTGGAATGTGAGATGCGGCTGGCCAATCCTGACAAAAGAACCATGGACCATGCTTGCAATGTCCCGCACAGGGCCGAGCGCAAAGCAGATGAATGAGGTGAGAACGATCATGCAGACCATCCAAACAACCCTGGTAAACGGGTCGGATTTATCCCTGCGCAACGCCAGAACTTCCGAGATTGTTGCCAAAGGGACACCCGAGTGGATAATCGCGCAGATGTGCACTGGGCCCCAAAAGAAAGAGAAAAAGGCGGAACATGCAAATCAAACGGCTACGGCGTTGGGGATGTGGGTTATCATATGGGACTGACATCATGCAGCGGCTTGGTCGAGTCGTGGTAGAAGTGAGAATGGCCGTGCGTTGGTCTGTAAGTTGTTTCGTACGTCCGACTCCATCGTGGACTTCATCTCCAGGGGGGATGAAACTCATCAGGGGACATCCAAGTGAAAGGGAACGAACCTGAACTCCAGAGTTGACACAGCCTGAGCCACGTGGCTTGAGCCAAAGCAAACTCCCCCTCGTCAAGAATTCCCTTCGTCTTTGCCGAGCGTGCCCCTCCTCGTCAAGCATGCCAGAATGCCCCTCGTCTTTGCCAAGCGTGCCCCTCCTCGTCAAGCATGCCCTTTCCCCCTCCCCCTGGCATGCGACACAACGAAGGCCCAGCCCTAGCGCCTTGTCGCTGTCCGTGCGCACCTTGGCGCGAAGCCGAGGCTCCAAGGCGAGCTCCTCATCGGGGGGGGGGAGGAGGGAGAAGGAGGACCCAGACTTCCTCGCTCCGCGACAGCTCACGACGGAAGGTCTCGAGGCATTCTCGGCCTCGAACGGTCCTCGCAGCCAGAGATGGCTCCACAGGTGGAAAAGCGGTCCTGGGGAAGTGGCTGAGATTTTTTTTTGTCCTATGGGGGTCCATGTCGTGAAGAATCACTGCGTCGGAAAACTCCGCACCAGGGCTGGGAAGCAGCCGGAGGCAGGAGGGAGGTTTGTCTTTTGTCCGGGGGGGGGGGGGGGCGACGTCGCAGACCTGACCTCTGAACTGTCCCGACCCAGTCCCGACCCAGCCCCTACACTGAGCGGCTTGAATAAGGAATACTTGCGTTTCAAAAGGGGCTTGGTCGTTCCTTAGGCTTGCATGCAATATCTATCGCTCCTTCTGCGTTATTGCAAATGTATTGTTCCTTGTGCGACATTCCTGGGAAAAAAGAAATTCGTTCCTTATTTCTCGTTCCTTAGGTCATGCCGATGACTGTAACTGGAAGGCAGGCTTGGGCTGGGCGCGCGCGATCGCCACTCGATCGTGCCAACCTCGCCGCGCCTGCACTGCGCACGAACACGCGCACGCGCGTGTAACCGACCACCCGGACGAGCAGCACGGCAAGAGGGAGGGGGCGTCTTGGCAGGGCGAGGGCCACGCGAGGATGGAAGGAGGTCGGGCCTGTCCCCCTCTGCAGGCGGATTTTGGACGAAAAGTTAATCACGCTGGCGACGTAAGACCCGACCCCTGCCCAATGCAGGGCATGATGAGTAGCTTGGGCGACTTCATAAGGGGGGGATGGCGAGACATGGACGTGTGAATTTCTGGAACCAGCTTTTTCGGGTGTCCCACTTGAGTCCGCCGCGGGGCCCCATTATGCTGGCCCCCCAGCAGGCCTCGAAAATGGCGACAATTTCACAGATCGCAGCCCCCCAGGGATGGCGAAGTCTAATTTGAATCCGCGTAGGACATCACTGTGCTGGCCCCCCAGCAGGCCTCGAAAGTGGCGACAGTTTCACAGATCGCAGCCCCCCAGGGATGGCGAAGTCTAATTTGAATCCGCGTACGACGTCAAAGTGCTAGACCCCCAGCAGGCCTCGAAAGTGGCGACAGTTTCACATATCACAGCCCACCAGGGATGGCGAAGTCTAATTTGAATCCACGTAGGACGTCACTGTGCTGGCCCTCCCCAGCAGGCCTCGAAAGTGGCGACAGTTTCACAGATCGCAGCCCCCCAGGAATGGCGTTTGAATCCGCGTAGGACGTCACTGTGCTGGACCCCCCAGCAGTCCTCGAAAGTGGCGACAATGTCACAGATCGCAGCACCCCCAGGGATGGCGAAGCCTAATTTGAGTCCGCGTACGACGTCACTGTGCTGGACCCCCCAGCAGGCCTCGAACGTGGCGACAGTTTCACAGATCGCAGCACCCCCAGGGATGGCGAGGTCTAATTTGAATCCGCGTAGAACGAACGTCTCTGTGCTGGACCTCCCAGCAGGTCTCGAAAGTGGCGACAGTTTCACATATCGCAGCCTCCCCCCCCAAGGCAAGACAAGAGGATGCAGGAAGGAGGCGGGAAGGAGAGAAGGAAGGACGGAGACCACAGTGCACTATTCAAAACGAATGCCCGAGGGAGAGAAGGAAGGACGGAGACCACAGTGCACTAGTCAAAACGAATACCCAACCAAGGAGGGTTGGGACAAATTGTCACAAAGTTCGCCCAAACATATTCAAAGATAGGCGACCCAATCGTCCCCTGGCTATTTTTGTACTATTTCTGAATATGCCTCCTGCAGAGGGACATGCCCGAAATCAGGATGGATGGAAGGAGAGGGAGGAACGAGCTCCGAGGGAAAGGAGGGGGGGAGGCGACGGGAGGAGGGAGCAGGGACGAGGAAACAGCGGGAAAAGGGGGGGGGGGGGACGAGAGAAAGTCAATCCAGACCCGGGGGGACGAGGAAACAGCGGGAACGAGGAATCAACGGGAAAGGGGGATCTTCTGACCCGGGTCAATCCAGACCCGGGTCAGCAGGAAACCAAAAACTGCAATTCAAGAAAAAAACTGCAACGCAGGTCTTCTCAAACTGCAATGCAAGAACAAGAGAAAAAAAAACTGCAATCCAACCCCGGGTCAGCCAATAGGCGCTGCCGCCTCGCGGCCACGAGCGGCTCGCTAACCCGGGTCAGCCAGAGGGGGTCTTCGCAGGATCCTGCAGGATCTGGTGCCGTGGCTGACCCCCGTTAGCATTGACCCCCGTCTCAAGGCTCCCGAGAGGGGGAAGGGATCCTGGTTCCAGCCGAAGCACAGCAGCGGCAGCGAGGTGACGATGTCGGGCAGGGAGCGCGGGAGGAGCCAGGGGGGAGAGAGGGAACCCGGGCGCAGGAGGGGGGGCTGGGACGAGCCGGGGGGGAGGGACGGAGCGTGGGCCGAGCCAGGGCAGGAGGGATGCCGCCGAGGCGATTCCAGGGACGGGTTTCACTAGCCTCGCGGCGCTGGAAGTCAGGTTGGTCTTTTCCAGCGGCCGTCCGGAGCTTGGAGGGGGGAGGGGCAGGAGGAGGGAGCGATGAGGAGTGGGGAACTGGGGAACAGGAGCAGCAGTAGTAGCAGGAGGAGGGAGGAGGAGCGGGAGGAGGACAGGATAGGGGAGAGGGAAGGGGCGGGGGGGGGGGAGACGGCGGGCAGGAGAAGGAAGAACGAGCAGCAGGGAGGAAGGCTTCTCTTGAAGTTCGCTCTGGTGGCTCTGGCTCGCAGGAAGCTCCAGGTAGAGCGAGGGGCCGATGAGTCCCCCGACTAGCGAAGAGACGCTGGCACAGGTTCGGCGCAGTAGATGCAGAGCACTGCAACCTGACTACGACCTCTTATCGGCAGAAGGCCGATCAAGCCCAAACCAGGCCTGCTCATTATGGATGTCGCTTCTTGCAGACGACCAGTTCATGTTTGCCTAGCTCACGCGACACTCCTCAGAAGATAACAGACATGAGTAGCATGTATACGAATGTGTAGCCCTGAAGCTCGCGCCACGGCATCCATCCGCTGCATCCCTGTCATGCCGAGGACTGTGACATGGCATCATCCTTTGTAGCTGACGGCAAGAAGGGGAACCACCCTTTCATCGACTGTGAAACGCGCTTGGAAGTTTGCGGCGCGTAGCTTCCAATGGCACCGCTGCGCGCCGCAATCTTGGCACAGCCATGACACCCGGGCGGTCGGGACAGTGGCGCTTCCGGGCAGCGCCGCCACGCTGCTCCCTGCGCGAGCGCCACGGCACCTCGCCGAAGCACACCGTGCCTGCATGGCGGCTACCCGCTCTCGGCGAAGCCTTCACTGTTGGAGGCGGGCGTCAAACAAAGAAGGAGCGATGCATGCGCGCCCAGCCTGAGGTCACCCAGCAGCGACCCCAATGGCGCAAGCGACGAACCCATACAGCCCAACCGAACGGCCCAGACGGCGCAACTCACACTGCTGTTGCCAGGCGAAGAAACAACTCGCGTCGGCAGCACCCGTTGACCATCTACGTTGAAGCACTCGGCGCTCACGACGTGCTGGTTTGGGTCATGCGTTGCCACTGTCTGAAGCGACGTGGCCGCCACAATGGATCGGCGAATGCCCACCCAGCCGGCAACCGCAACGTCCTACTAGAGACTATTGCAACCCGGGTCTGAGTCGTCGGAACTGCCCCTTTGACTGCTCCCCTGTGACCACCTCTAATCGAGATGATTGCAAACCTAGTCTGGGTCTATCCGTAGGATGTGGGTACTCCCGCGTGACTCCCCTCCTGCTTGTTCAAGCCGTCCACGCGACAACATCGAATCACCATTGGTAAATTTGTTGCTCGACTGCACCAGTCCTTGTACAATGCAACTATGCAAGCCTGCGCGGGAATGCAAATTGTGAGAAAATGCCCCGCATGCACCTATTACTTTTTCTGAGTGGATTCGGTGTTCGCCCTTTTCAGCCCGACTGCGCCGAAATACTCGCTTCCGGACTGGATGCATGTTTGGCGACTAGCAGGACAAGCGCACTGCACTCTCTCGCGCAATTGCATGGTCATGTATAAATGAAATCAGCAACGCTACGGCACAAGCGCACTTCAAAGGAAAAGTGTGCTCCACGCAATGGACACCACATCGGCACCCCATCCTTCATTCCGATACCACTCGCAGATCCTTGTTATCCCCCTCTTCTTGTATCATCGCTGCCAGTTTCTCATCCTCCTTTCTCCTATTCCTCCTCTCTTGCTGCGCAGGTTGCTGTCGCCGTTCCCCAACTCGACGCTGACGGGGTTGAGGAGTTACCATGTCGACTCTGTCGGAGACACGACGGGCAAGACGAACTTCGCTGGCGAGAAAACGCAATCGGACTATGCAGGCCCAAGATATGATTAACATGTTCAGGCAAACGCAACTCAGGATAAGTCCAGGCTGCTGGGAGGAGGGACGAGAACGCGCAGCGCCAAGAGCCCCTGACTTTCGCCGATCAGTTGGAAGAGCGCAACGCCGCCAAGGAGGCTGGCCACGCAAATTCGGGGGTGACGACGGAGGCCCCTGAGGTAGTCAAAACAATATGGCAATACCTCTTCCTCCGCTGACCGACGATCGTTCCCGAGCACCGCGGCTCTGGCCTGGCGGCGCGCGGTGGAGGAGGAGGAAGAGGAGGATGAGGAGGAGGAGGAAGAGAAGAAGGAGGAGGAGGAGGAGGAGGAGATAGAGGAGGAGGGAGGAGAGGAGGAGGAGGGAGGAGAGAGGAGGGAGAAACTTCGGCCGCATCGTGTGCAACCGCAAAGACGCAGGGGGGCGGGCCCGAGGGGACCCCGATGGGGACCCCGCCTCCTCCTCCTCCTCCTCCTCCTCCGCCTCCTCCTCCTCGTGCATGCCGCATGCCGTAATCGTCGCAGTCGTGGGCATCTCCGCAGCTCCCATCGCTAGTAGTATACCCGCGCGATCTTCATGTAGCTGCCTTTGTCTAGCATCAGTCTGAAAACAAGATGTGTCTCTCGCACGTCCGTCTCACTGTGACGATGGGAAGCATCAGGATCAAAGTTCGGCGAGGATGCAAGAACCTTCGCAGCACGTGCCAATCTCCACTGGTCAAACTCCATCGTGTCATCAAACCCCTTTGATGGCTACTTCGCGCATCTCTGCATGTTTCCCATACTCACGGTATGACTCCATGTCCACATCCTGGTAGGGAACCTGCGTGACACTATGATATGGTGGTTGCTCTGGTACGTGAAGCATTTCTCGACGATCCTCTTGCTGTAGATGGAGAGAACGTTGACTTCGCAACTACGGATCATGATGTCTTCGGAGACCATGCACCTCCAATCCGTAAGGACGAGCCACTGTAGCACAATAGTATGTTTATAGCATGGTTTTCTGGCGTGCGTCCCTGATCTCTGCTTGTATTCCTCGGACCATGCGCTGACCAATCTGCTGTTCGACATCGGTGTGCTTATGTTTGGCATAAGTTGTCCCTGGCCGCGATAGTCTGACTTCCACCGCGGAGCTGGACAATGATGTGCATCGCCTTCATGATACCAGACGTCATCTTCTCATGGTGTTACCTCCTTAGCTGCTGGAATTTCCAAGCACGCCTGGCCAGTTCGTAATGTTAGTACCTCTTGAATTGCCGCTACGTTCAAAACCTTGAGCTTGAATAGGCATCTCCATCCCCTGCAGCCTGGACTGAGCGGATGGAGCAATTGCCCGTTGCTCTGGCAAAGCATGAGACGCATATTCTTGCATGTCCATGTTTCTCCTTTGAGCCCTCTCCTCCATATCCTGCTCGAGTCGTCGCACTCCAGCTGCTGAGGCTGCGCATGCCAACCCAGTATCTTCCGCACTTCCTCCAGGCTGATCATCGTCCCCATTTAAGATTGTCCCCTTGCCGATGGCGGTGTCGATCCTGCTATCGGCGTTAATCTTGAGCTCAGTATGCATATAGCCGTCGGTTCCGGTGCCGAACGAGCCACCGCTGGCGTCTGTGGTCATAGAAGCGATATCGTTCCCAGTGCAGAGCCATATGTGGTGTACCGAATTGCGGTCTTCCAGGTGCTGCTCTCGGCATTGTCTGCGCAATAGTATGACCCTGCTGCAGCGTTGAGCGAACTGGTCCTCTCGATGCAACCCCTGGTGGTGAACTCGGTGCTCTACTCGCTGCTGTCTTCATGAATGTTGGAGCTGGGCTGGTCGGTGGTGAGGGTGGAGGTGGAGGCGGTGGGGGTATATGTAGCCCTTCTGCCTCGTCCTCTTTCCTGCAACGCCCAAGAAATTGGTAATACCTGCCTGGGATCGTGTCCGTCGTCACTATGAGAACCAAGCGAACTGGCCAACAAGTCTTGCCAATACAATGGGGCGCTCGTCTAACAAAATACCTGCTTTGACTGTCTCCTGCGGCATTTTCATCTGTACAATCTTGACTTGACATCTTTCAACATTGTCCGTGGCGTCCTTCGCCTGCTACGCTATGGTCTGAATCTGACTTTTCATGAACTTCATTCCGGCCAACTTAATCCTGCGATCTCGTAGGGGTAGGGGCCTATCGAAGTTTGTAGACTATCTCCGCGGCCGCCAGCACCTGATAATTCAAGTCGTTGTTGTCTCCATCGTGGAACATCGCGAACAGGTGGAGGTGGCAAATCTATGGAACTCCATATTGCGTATTCGTTGGTGTACATCGTGGTCTCCTGCATTATGGTACGCGTCGCATTCCTGATCTCCTGGAGGTCGGATGCCCTTCTTCTCTTAGTCTTTCTGCGCCGCTGATTATTCAGATTCTCTGCCATGCTGGATCTCTTTGTAGGACAGCGCTTGTCTGGAGGGCTTCTTGCTCGATCGCGACAGTGGTTGTCTGGAGACCTGCTGCCGCTGCCACAGAGCAAACAACTCCAGCCACCTCTGACGGCTGCAGCCCTCCCCGCCATGCCGCCGAAGCTGTGGCGGCACTCCACGACCGTCCTGGCCGCCACTGCCGCGGGGAGAAGGCAGCCTGGCCGCGCCTCTGCGGCGCCTCGGCCTCCTGTGCCAAGCAGGCTCGCCTCCGCGCGGCGCCGACGGGTCTTCGGCGCCGCGGGCACTCCCCGCGCCCGTGGGCGCCTCGCCGCCACGGCCTCGCGGCGGGGACTGCGCGCCTGTGGGGGCGCGGGCGCGGCCGGCCCGCCCCCCACCCGCTCCGAGAGGCCACGGCTGCCGCCGCCGCCTCCTCCTCCTCCTCCTCCTCCTCCTCCTCCTCCTCCTCCTCCTCCTCCTCCTCCCCCTTCCTCCTCCTGCTGCTCCTTCTCCTCTCCCCCTCTGATCTTCCTCCGCGCTTTCTCACCGAACACTGTCAATGGCAGTATCCTGCTCCTCATCCTCCTCTTCCGCCTCACCCCCTTCCTCCTCCGCCGCCTCCCCCCTCCTCTGGCTAACCCCAACGGGCGGACCCCATATGGGCGGACCCTTCTGGTCGGAACGGAACCCTGTGAACAGACGCCGGAGGGTGGACACCTGTGACACACCCTCGTTGGGGCGGGCCCCGATGGGTGGAGCCGATGGGCGGACAACGATGAGCTAAGTATCTGGGGCTGTACAAAGTAGGGGCGCAGCTACTAGAATGTTTGCAGACGTGCTTGCACAGTGCATCCTGCGCTCAATCTGTTCGGAGCACGCAATGTAGCACAGACAGCATGTCAGTGGAATCTAGATGACGGTATGGCAAACTTGTGCGCAATATACAACCATATGAAAACTAGCACATTACGATACATCATCTTCTGTCGTACGGTTCAGACTACTTTGACGCTGGTATGCTGTATACTTTCTCGTAGCATGAGCAACAGATCATCTTTCCTCTCCTCTCGAACAACCACCCAGGGCAATTGAGCTGGACTCCCTTGGAGAGTCGCCACCCCAACGATTAGCAGCGGCTAAGGTACGAGAGGTAAGATATATGTGGTGGAACCAATGTGGTGCAAGCTATGTGATGTACGTTATGTGGGGCAATAAAAAAGCCGAGTTCTGTGGCGTGAGCTATGTGGTGTAAGCTATATGGAGTATGCGTCGACGGCTGCAAACAAGGCGAATGCTCGCCACCCCCATCTGATTAAGTATAAGCACGGATAAGAGCCAGCAGTAAAATAACCGTTTGGGGAAAGAGGGTACAATAGGAAGGTTCATATGGTCGGGAAATTATGGGAAGGAGAAACATGGAAAAGGGGTGGACGCGGGAGTCGGGGGTGAGAAAGGCGAGGATGAAGTATGCGGGCCGGCGTGCTTCCCGAGCTTCCTGCGTCGCTTCCCGCCCATTCTCGCGTCGACACCGTCGAGGGGAGAAAGAGCAAACCCACGGCCAGGGGGGGGCGAAGGCAGCGCTCCGTGGAGTGCTCCTCCTTGGAGTACTCCACATCCAGGTGGAGGACCAGCACCTCCTGAGCTCTTATACAATCCACTCGCGATCGTGCACCGGCCTGTCCTTCTGATCCCGCTGGGCGGCCAAGCCCACAGATATCGGTAATGAGCAGGGCGGGGCTTTGCCATCCATGATTTGCCCCCTGGGCCTGGGGAGCCCCGTTGTGAGGCGCTGGGTCGAGTCACGACAATCGCTGCGGCGCGAAGCCAAAATTGTCACGGGGGACAAGCGATCCCACTCAGCATGCCCAATGCGCACACCTCGCCCAGGAGATTGGCTCCTGCAGGGCTGCGCGCCCCTGTGCGATGGTCCTCGCACCCAGTAGCCATGTGCAGCAAGCGATCCATTCCACAACCTTAGATTTCATGCTGTCCGACTTCGTAGCGACGAGCATGCACAACCAGAAGCCAACGTAAACCCCGGCCTGCCTCAAAATTGCGATACGAGCGTCCTAGGAGACCGCCGACAACATCTACGAGAGGCAACTCCCAAGCATTCGGGCATTCCCAAGCCGTCGAGCCCACGGACATCGAAGAAGGCGCGAACGATTCAACAGAACCCCGCCCTGAGAACTCGCACCTAGTGGTAACCGTGAGTACCCATTTGTCCAGCACGATCCATCCATGTACCCAACCTGACTAGAATCTTCGCCGAAGACGGTCCGAATAACTTACCTCCTTGATGTGTACATGCTGTGAGCCACAGGTACCTGGCGGCCTGCAGACCAAGGCAAACGTACTGTCAAGATTCCGGAAGGGGCCACCAGTTAAAACGGTGACCCGTGTGAGCGCAGGAGATACTGGTAAACGTGTGTCGTCGATACGATTGAACTTCGCAGTGCGGTCACATTTACAACTGTGCTCACACATGCGAGAAATTGGTGGATGGCATCTGGTGGCAGGACGGTTTCTTCATATGCCTGCTGTAAGGGACGGCGTGAAAATGGGCACAGCACCATGAGAGACTCAATGCGCCGCTTAGCTCTGCGACGGCAGACGTGACCCAGCACGAGCCGAGATTCGTTCGCCTCGCTACCCCCAGCAACAAAAATAGTTCGAGCTCCTGTGGAGCAAATGGGGCGCTCCAGACAGGACCCTGTCTTTGAATGATCGAGAGGCTGGCATCTTCCGGAGGAAAGCGGCGAAACCAGAACGGGGGCGGCTCTGCGGAAGATCAGCGGAAGGCGGCCGAAGCAACACCACCCCGAAGAGATGGCACTTCTGTGGGACCACCCCGAAGGGATGGCACTACCACAGCGGGACACAACCACCATCATGCCCACAGGCACTCAACGGAGTGTCCTCAGGTCGCTTCGGGCTCCCTGAATTGAGTATTGGAAGTGCTCTTTACTGCAAGGAGCCAGGATCCCCGAGATCAGGTCGCTTTTGGGCGCTCCTGAGGCATTGAGCCTTGGCGGTATTTGAGCGTTGGCGGACTTGGGAGCGTCGCTGAAGGTGCGAATTTCCCGCGTGTCTTCAGGCGGCGCCGATGGGCCGTCCTGGGCTCTGGGGGGAGCCTCTTGGGAAGTATTCGAAGCCTTCGGGGCCGCCCTCAGAAGCCAAGATCGCTCAAGAACAATCGGGTGTGTTTGATGTTCGGTTGCTCACCTTTTCGGTCCTTCCGAGCGCCCAAGGACACCCCCAGGAGGACCGAGAGCCCCAAGAGTGCCCACGAAGCCCTCCAATTGGGCCCAAGATGCCCTCCAATTGGGCCAAAGAGCCCAAGATGACCACGAACTGATAGTTCAGGTCCGTGTCCCCAAGATGGCCCCCGAGACCGCCAGCGGGCCCCCAAGAGGTTCAAGAGGCCCCCCGAAGAAATCTCCAGAAGGCCCCCGAAGAGCCCCCCCGAAGCCCTTCCCGTTTTCAGGATCGGCGTTCTTTCCATCTGTTTGTGGGCCGTGCTTTTGTCCGTTTTGGGACTGCCGTCTCGCCGTTTCCAATTCGGATTGCGATCCGTTTTCTAACTGTTGTTCCCAACCATCCTGCGGTGTTGGGTCCTCGTTTTGAAGTCACGGTCCCCGCGTTCCTCTCCTCGCCTCTCCACTTCCTCCTCCTCCCCCTCCTCACTCCTCCCCCTCCTTGCCTATGCCCTCCGCATGTCTCTGTTTCGGCAGGCCCCTCACACGGTTCGTGGCCCCATGGGGAGCTCCACCGAAGGCCCCAGTGCTACCGCCCACATGCGTCCCCCACACCTATTTCGGCATTCCCCTCACAATCTTCGTGGCTCCATAGGCAGCTCCACCGAAGGCCCCAGTTCGACCGTCCACATGCGTTCCCCACACCGGTTTCGGTACACGCCTCACACGTTTCGCGGCCCCATAGGGAGCTCCACCGAAGGCCCCAATGCCACCGCCCACATGCGTCCCCCACACACAATTCGGCACTCCCCTCAGACGTTCCGTGGCCCCATATTGTAGGGAGCTCTGCCGAAGGCCCCAGTGCCACCGCCCACATGCGTCCCCCACGCCCATTTCGGCACACCTCTCACACGCTTCGTGGCCCCATGAGGAGCTCTACCGAAGGCCCAGTGCCACCGTCCACATGCTTCCCCCGCGCCCATTTCGGCACACCCCGCACACGCTTCGTGGCCCCATAGGGAGCTCCACCGAAGGCTCCAGTGCTACCGTCCACATGCTTCCCCCACACCCATTTCGGCACTCCCCTCACAATCTTCGTGGCCCCATTTCGGCATACCTCTCACACATTTCATGGCCCCATAGGGAGCTCCACCGAAGGCCCCAGTGCCACCGTCCACTTGCATCCCCGCCACCCATTTCGGCACACCCCTCACAAGCCTCGTGTCCCCATAGGAAGCTCCACCGAATGCCCCAGTGCCACCATTCACGTGCGTCCCCCACACACCCAGTTCGGCACCCCTCTCACACGCTTCGTTGCCCCATAGGAAGCTCCACCGAAGGCCCCAGTGCCACCGTTCACTTGCATCCCCGCCACCCATTTCGGCACACCTCTCACAAGGTCCGTGGCCTCATGAGGTCCGTGGCCTCATGGTTCGTCATTGCGGTGCGCACAACTGCGCATGGTTGGGTCCTTCGCCAGGCGAATTAACTGAATGTTTTTCTTGTTTCCCGTTTCTGTCAATTGTTTTCTGTGTTGGGTTGTCGTTTTGCTTCTATGTTGGGTTGCTGGATCGTTTTGGGCCTGGCTGGTGTCGTTTTTCGCTGTTTGTTCGTTCATGTTGGGCAGTTGTTCATTCGTTTCGTTCGTTCATTGTTCGCTTTGGGTTGCAATGTGTAAAACGTGCTGGTCGATCGCAACACAAAAAACGGAACATTGCATAGAAAAAAACGCCCCCAACGATTTCAAGAACAACAAATATCCAAGGCCCCCTGTCCACAACCAAGGGGGCCCGTGCCAGCGGAAGATGCGGCTGCCGCTCGGCCGTGGGAGCTCTGCCCCTCCGAAGCTCCGCCCGATCAGCACTGGTCTCCTTCACAGGACCCGCCCGCTCGAGGGGTGACTCCGCTCCGTCCCCGCACGGGGCCGAGGGCCGACGGGGGGGCCGAAAACGGGGGGGAGGGGGGGCGGTGTACGCTGGGTTGCGCTGTGGGTTGGTATATGTCTCCCGACTCCGGGTCGAAGGATCGCGCCGCATCGCCGATGCATCGCCGATGCATCGGCGATGTATCGCCGATGCATCGGCGACGTCGGCGTGGGGAAACACGGGCTCCACATCGAGCCGCATCTTCGATGCATCGGCGACGCGGCGCGATCCTCTGACCCCGTCTATTCGGACCCATTCTAGGAGGCCTAGAAATACGCTCAGTTACTCTGCGCTCTCATGATCACCATCGCTCACCCACCGCGTCTGTTTGCGCCTCTCTCGCTTCCGCACTTGTAGCTGCATCAACTCTCAACTTGTTTTTGGGTGGCCCAAAGAAGGGCCCAGCTGAAAGGGGATGGTGCAACAGATTTGGGGCAACTGTATTGCAAATGTATTGCGCCGGAGAATTGTATTGCATTGTGTTGCAAGTAATTCGTTGCACGCAAAAACTCAGCAACACATCTGCGCCCTGGAATGTATTGCACACCCCGACTGTATTGCAACCCCACCGATCTATTGCAACAAAGGAATTCGATCATCCCTCTTGGGTCAACCCGATTGTTGTCACGGGCCCCAGCTGGCGCTCCTGTCTACGCCTCTCGCACGGACAATGCGCAGCGTGAGCTCATTTCTCGGATCGGCGCTGGGGCCCCCGGCGGCGCCTCCGGCGCCGCCCCTGGCGCGCTCCGCGCGCCAGGGAAGGGGGGTCCAGCGCCGATCCGAGCAATCCGCGCGGACCTCCGAGTTTTTTGTATATTTCTGTCATTGTTTTTTCCCCTACCCACGGTCGGGAGCGGCCAAGAGGGGGGGGTCCAAGAGAGGGGGGTGCAAATCATGACCGGCGGCATGTGCGCGGCCCAGCGGGGGGGCCAGGGACGTAATGAAATAAGAAGAGGCGCCATGAGAAATCTGGGGAGATATCATGGCCCGCGCCATGATATCCACCCCCCCTAACCATCACCCCCCTCTTTTCCGCTCCCGATACCCACGGGCAAGAGGCTCGTCCCCTCTCCTCGCCGGGCCACACCATCTCGACGTGCTTGCTGTTGAGCCGCTGATGGTGTCGGAGGTGGATGGCTGCGCGACGGTCGGGGCACCGTGAACCCGGGCACGCTGGGCCCAGAGACTGCACTGCAATTTACAGGGCAGGTTTTAAGACATTTTTGTAAATATGATTTATGATGTATGATTAATGTATGAACAAATTTATGCGTGAACTCATCGCTGTTTTTCATACTAGATCCCTGCATTTTGAGTACATGGTCCGCACGCGGAGCATGTATTAAAACCGGCGCCGTATCTAGAATGAACTCAGACACAAGCCCTAAAAGCCCGCAAGGCCCCCCTAAACCCGGACACAAGCCCGAATCATGCAGTGCAGCAAACCAAAACATGCACGGATTCTGAGAGACATGACTCGCAAGAAGAGGTATCGTTTCCATGCTCTTCCGTGTCCTGGTCCATCTGTGTGTCCTGGTCTCTTGGGGCCCGAGACGGCACGGGGGTCTCCACTCCAGAAGCTGTAACCCCCCACGTCCCCGATGCACAGTCAGCCCGCAGAGTACCGATGTGCGCCGAGGATGTTTACCAGCCTGGAACATATCCCTATCCCTATGCTGGGCACCTCCTCATCACGATGCCAATCTTAGGGATTCCCTTATTTTTGAGGGCGAATCCCTAAGATTGTCATCGCCCTTCGGCGTGTCAATCTTAGGGATAGGGATACGTTCGAGGCTGGTAAGGTGTGAGGGCCCAGGGAGGCCATGTCGACACTCTGCGAGCAGGGCGCGGCCAGCGAGGGAGGCCAGGGATGGACCGAAGGGAAAGGATGCACGGGTAACATTGGCAGGTCGTTCATCCTTGCTCTGGCCATCGCTCGGACGTCCATTCCCTGTGCTTTTTTCGGTTTCGTGCGTGGTTTTTTCGCCAAGTTATCAGGGATGATCCTCGATGGTCCTCGCCGAAGGAAAAATGCACACGTCCGAGCGATGCCAAGTACTGCGCGTGTTGACTGTACCTCGCATCGACCTGACCAATCCGCTGTATACCACTGAACCACCTGTTCTGCTCGATGTGTTCCCTCTTGATTCCCTCCGTTGCTTCCATCTCCCCTCCGTCACCTCCTCGCCCCCCACTTGTCGAGCCCACTCTTCACCCACTGCTGCTTGGTTTGCGCTTGATTGCTAGTCCTGACAATCCTGTCGACCTGTCACGGGCCCCCCTGCCACACGCCGGCCGCACAACAACCTCCGGCGCACTAGCAACGCCCCTTGCCTGTACTGCCCGCTGTCCTGAAAGTCTGACTGCCTGCCGAGCGGCCGCCTGCACGTCCTCCTCTTCCTCCTCCTCCTCCTCCCCCTCCTCCTCCTCCTCCTCCTCCTCCTCCTCCTCCTCCTCCTCCTCCTCCTCCTCCTCCTCCTCCTCCTCCTCCTCCTCCTCCCCTCCCCTCCCCCTCCCCCTCCCCCTCCCCCCCCCTCCCCCTCCCCCTCCCCCTCCCCCTCCCCCCCCTCCCCCTCCCCTCCCCCTCCCCCTCCCCCGCCCCCTCCCCCTCCCCCTCCCCCTCCCCCTCCCCCCCCTCCCCCTCCCCTCCCCTCCTCCTCCTCCTCCTCCTCCTCCTCCTCCTCCTCCTCCTCCTCCTCTTCCTCCTCCTCCCCTCCTCCTCCTCCTCCTCCTCTCCTCCTCCTCCTCCTCCTCCTCCTCCTCCTCCTCCTCCTCCTCCTCCCCTCCTCCGCCTCCTCCTCCCCCTCCTCCCCCTCCTCCCCCTTCCTCCCCCTTCCCTCCTCCGCTTTCCTCCTCCCTCCTCCTCCCTCCTCCTCCCTCCTCCTCCCTCCTCCTCCTCCTCCTCCCTCCTCCCTCCTCCTCCTCCTCCTCCTCCTCCCTCCTCCTCCTCCTCCTCCTCCTCCTCCTCCTCCTCCTCTCCTCCTCCTCCTCCTCCTCCTCCTCCTCCTCCTCCTCCTCCTCCTCCTCCCTCCTCCCTCCTCCTCCTCCTCCTCCTCCTCCTCCCTCCTCCTCCTCCTCCTCCTCCTCCTCCTCCTCCTCCTCCTCCCTCCTCCTCCCCTCCTCCTCCTCCTCCTCTCTCCTCCTCCTCCTCTTTTTATTATTATTTTTCTCTTCTTCTTCTTATTCTTCTGCTTATTATTCTTATTCTTCCTCCTCCTCCTCCTCCTCCTCCTCCTCCTCCTCCTCCTCCTCCTCCTCCTCCTCCTCCTCCTCCTCCTCTCCATTTCTTGGGACGGGGACTTCTTCAGCAAGCTGGACACGCTGGAGGTCAGCGAGACGGAGAGGGCCGACCTCAAGCAGCTGGAGACCGACCTGAAGGGGGTGCGCGACACGGTGGGTAACAAGTCCTCCGAGGTCGAGACCATGCTTGCGCGCATGGCGAAGATGCAGGAGGACATCATGACCCGCCTGGCCAAGAAGCGGAAAGGTCTCGACGGCGAGGCCACAGGCAGCAGCAGCGGCAGCAGTGGCGGCGGTGGCGCTGGTGCTGAGTCGGGAAGGACGCAGGCAGGCGGCGAAGGGCGCACTGCAGAGGACATCGCCGTCGGCGAGGACCAGGCAGACGCTGAGCTGGCTGAGGAGGCGCAGCGCATCAGCGCCGCCAAGCTAGCCGCCGCCCAGGCCGCGCATGGCGCTGGCCTCGGGAGTCCATGATCCAGGCAGCGGGGCCCCTCGAGCACGCAGTCGGCTGGGATGACTGCATCGAGATCGGCCTCGTCGGGGACTGAGCAGCCTTCGAATGGTGAGACGCAGATGTTCTTTGCGAGCGTGACTCAGCTGAGCAAGAAATCGTAGGGGTTTCTCACCAGCAGTAGGGCTGCCAGTTATCACATTTTTGCTTTAGTTGAGACCCACATCGGGTCCACAGACGACGTCGCCCGATGGAAGTCTGAGGCCTACAAGGCCAAGTTTAGGAGCTTTTGGAACCCAGCCCGCGGCACGGGAAACGGCGCGACCCTTGTGGGTCAGTCTCGCGCCAACGAAGGGGGAGAGTTCTTTCTAGCCAGGAAACACTTGTCAATTCACTCACTTGCCCAAGCCAACGGGGCATGGAAGGACCTTACAGTTGACGGTTCGGCCAGCCTCGATGGGTTTTCCGCTGTAGTTTGCCACCAGAAAGGTTCCTCGTTTATCTTAGTTTCCTTTTACGCCTACTCAGGCGAGGGGCACAGGGGCCGAAATCTTCCTCGGTTTGCTCGGCTTGGGGCGCTGCTGCAGCAGTGTCGCCTTCCTTGGGTCGTGGTCGGGGGTTGGAACATGGCACCTGAAACCCTGCAGCGTGTAGGTTTCGTAGACAAAATTGGCGGTGTGATTTACAAGTGTCCGCTTCAGTACACCTGCTCGCTAGGATCAGGCACGCACGTAGATTTCGTCTTAGCCAGCAAACCCAGCGTGCCTTTCATTTCCCGTCTCGATGCACGCGTGGATGTACCCTGGCGCCCGCGTTGTGGGCTGGTGCTGGTCATCCGCAGCTCTTGCCAGCAGCTGCTGTGCCAGGAGCTCCACATGGCGCCCAAATTGCCCCAGGCCCCGAGGCCGAAGCACCTTCCTCAAGTAGGGTCCAAGTCCAGCGTGAGACGGGCTGCTGACGCGACAAAGCGTTCGGCGGCACGTATTGCAATGGACGAATGCTACCACGAGCTTTACGGTGATTTGAATGAAGGCGACTCTCAGCAGAGTCAGGCGCCACGGCTTGTTTTCGGGGACTCGGACGACGAAGGCGGTTTCCCTGGGGCCCCTCTCTCCCTCGCCTCCCTGGTGGGGTCCTCCTCTGGTGGGGCGCGGGGGTCCACGACGTCCGAGTCCCCCGGTCTAGGTTTTGAATTTGAACTCGATCAAGAAGCCCACGAGTCACCTTTTGAGCCCGATGAACCCCCAGGTTCACCCGCGACCAGCGGTGCAGACAGTGGTCTCTCAGGCAGTCAGCAGCTCCCCTCTCCTTCCCTCCCTCCCCTCCCGTCGTTCCACATCCCCGACGAGTCCTGGGAAGCCGCCGAGCGCGACGTGGGGTATGTTCCCGTGGGGTCCGAGCAAGAAGTCTGGCCAGTTATTCGGAGTTCTGGAGCTTATTACGTGGGACGCGAACACATCATGAGCGTGAGCGCGCTTTATTCACAATGGGCGCGCACAGTTGAGCATGTTATTTCTGCGCACCACGGAGAGCCCGAGCCAATTCATTCTCGCTCACACGGGCCAGTCTTTCGGGACAGAGTGCTGCATATGCTGGACAAGGTTCGTTCGGAACCAATGCGCGGGCAGGTAACTTGCTGGTGGGGTAGGGCGCATGCGGTACTTCAGGGCCTTTGTCATCATATGACTAAAGGGAACGGGGAAGTCCAGCGCTCTCGGCTTGCTGCAGCGCGCCGTGCCTTGGCTAGAGACGTACCAGATTCAGTTCACCTGCCGTTGGCTTCGCTGGACACAGTCGACGGAGCATGGTCGCTTTGGCAGTCGCAGCTGATGCACGTGCAGGATGTCGACCTTCCGATTTTGGAGAAGCTATGTTCAGTTGCCAAACGAGTGGCTGGACGTGCCAGGCGGGGGGATCTTCAAAGCTCACTCCATGATTTTAAGGAATGGATTTCGGCCCCCGAGGCCTGTGGGGCCCTGCAGAACAACTTGAAGCACCCCCCCCCCCCTTCCTCCGAGGTGGAGGTCAGGGGGGGGGGGGGGGGGGGGGGGATGATTTTTCACCCTCGGGGCGTCTTAGACCACAAGGCCAAGAAATGGAATCAGCTTTGGAGCCCAGGCGACGTCTCACTTGATTTGTTTTGGCGAGTTATTTGACCGCATCCGTGCTGCAGCTGAAGACGACCAACTGCCCGTTCTCACTTGCGATCGGGTGGAAGCCGCGCTCCAGAGTATGAAGGCACGTGCTGGTCAGGGGGTCGATCAGCTCTCTCCAGCAGATATGCAGCGGTTTCCACGCGAAGGGCTCCTTCAGCTTGTGCAGCTTTTTCAAGCGTGTGAATTTCGGAGTACGTGGCCCTGGCAAGTCCTGCTGGCCATGGGAAGGTGGCTGGGGAAGAAGTCTGGAGACAACAGGGTGGTCGGGCTGCTGGCCATGCTCACCAGAGTGTGGTCAGCAGCTCGTGAAGAAGACGTCCGCCTCTGGACCTCCTCCTCGGAACCAGAGCGGGATGCCGCGATCCGAGGTAACTCTGCTCTTCGCGAGGCGTTCGTTCGAGCTCTGCAAGATGAGGCATGCATGCGCCTGGGGATCGAATTCGGCACGGGCCTTATCGACGCGGAAGCTTTCTATGATTCGATGTCTTGGGAGGCTCTCGTGAGTACAGCCCTTCGGCTTCAATTTCCCGCTACGGCTCTTGTGTTAGAACTCCAGAATTGCGTCCTCCTCGGACTCTCGCTCAAGACGGGTGTTTTTTTTCGACCGCATTTCAGCCTTCTCGCAGCGTCGTCCAGGGTCGTCGGAGTGGAGTCAGGCTCGGGAGGTGCATGGTGTATTTCATCCTGGCCAAAATCACTTCGGTGCATGTTGGGGCGTCCATGGGGATCTGGGTGGACGACATGTATCAAAGAGTGACGGGGTCAAAGAAAGTCGTTCGTGCACAACTGTTTGGCTGTCTCCGTGACACGTGCGACGAGCTCAGTAAGGCAGGGTTGAAGGCAGCCCCCAAGAGTGCTTTAGTTTGCTCGAAGTCGGGCGATGGCAAGCAGGTTGCGGCCAGGCTCAAGAAGTTGGGCTATACTGTTCAGAATGTTTTACAAGCGCAGTACCTCGGCGTGGACCTCGGTGCTGGCCGTCCTGCTCGTTCCTCTCGGCGCAAGCGTGTGGTCAAAGCTGCTACCATGACGGCCGAGATTAGGAAGTTCGCTCGGGCCTCTCGTCGGCATCAGATTACAGGGCGCCTGGAACGAGCAGGGGCCCAAGCCGCGGGATCTTACGGACATCAAGTTCACGGCTCTTTCGGGTCTCATCGCGTCGGTTTTCGGCGTAGGCTGGGTGCCTCCATGGGCTCCAAGCAGAAAGGTCGCTGTCTTATTACGTTGTTGGATTTGAAACCCCCAGGTGCCGACCCGTTCGTGAAGTTTCCCAGGGACACCATGAAGCTCTGGCTCGATACGTGGTTTTGCTTTCCCGATCTTCGTCCGATGGTCCGTCAGGCTTGGCCGCAAATTGTTAGGTGTCTTCAGAATATGGTTCCGTCTCAATTCTCACGGCAAGTTCGTGGGCCCATGGGAGCTCTTATTGGGCACGTGCTTGAGGTAGGGTGGACTCCCACGTCCCCAACCGAGCGGACCACCCCAGGTGACGAAGGCGCCCATTGGATTTCCCCTGATAGTGGTCTCACTGGATTCGAAGACACTTCTGAAGTACTAGACGAGTTCCAACAAGCGTTTCAAGATGCTGCGTGGGCGAAGGCCGCTCGGCATTACTGTGATGAGGGTTCAGCTAACGGGATCGACAACACCAGTTATCGACGTTTTATTCGGAGCCTTCAGAACAGTAACCACGGGCATCGTTTGGCCGAGACCATGATCAAGGTTGCGACAGGGGGGTTTTGGCCTCGGCAGAGAGTCGTCGACGAAACTACACATCGTATCGGCCCTGAATGCCCGAGGTGTGGGGAACAACCTGAGACACCACTACATCGGGTCTGGCTATGTCGGTGCAACAATGCCGAGCACAAGGCTGTCAAGCAGTCTGATTGTTTAGTACCCCGTGCTGTGTCGTGCGGCGACAGCGAGGCGTGCGTTTGGTTCCGCGGGCTCATCCCGCGTGCATGGACGGCAATACCTCCAGCTAGCTCAGATCCAGACTGGGCCACAGTGGGAGGCAACGAACCGCCCGAGTTGAATGATACCACCTTGGGTATAGGGTACATTGAAGACCCTGTTGTCATTTTCGGTGATGCATCTGGAGGTCCTGACGCTCGAGAGCCCGCCTTTCGGCGTATAGGAGTTGCTGCTGTTACTTTAGCATCGTACGACCCCCCCGTGGTTCGAGCTTGAGTTTTAGGCCCTCTCCCTGGACGGAAGCAAACGGTTCCTCGAGGTGAACTCCAAGGTCTCATGTTAGCCCTTCTGCATTCCAGAGGCCCCATGATCTACGTCACGGACGCTTCGGGAATGTGCGATGGTTGGTACAATGGGCTTTACGATAGGCCCTCAGGAGACAACAAGGGGGATTGGAATACGGACCGTTCGATTAGTCAGAGCACGGGGCGTGACACGTCACTTATCTCCGTCCTCAAGGTCGACCCCCACCTCTCCCCCATTCAGATCATCCAGAAGAAGGTTCCGAGGTTCCTGGTTGTCGGCAACATAGTTGCTGACGAGCTTGCTGGAGTGGCCGCAAAAAGATGTAGACTGGACAGCTCTCATCGAGCTCGCGTTGTGCGAGTGGAAAGGGATGCTTTACTCGTCTGTCATCGGTTGTTGCGTGTCGCCCTGGAGGTTTTCCGCTCGGACTCACAGGCACAGCGGCCGCGACCTCGCGGCGCTCGACGCGGTGGTGGCGGCGCCCAGGACGGGGACGGCGTGGAGCCGCCCCTGCCGCCTCCTCTCCCTCCTCCCCCCTCGCCTGCTGCTCTGTCTGCTTTCCACTCTTCCCACTGCCTCGGGCCGAATGGCCGCTGCTGTCTACATTGTAGGGGGTACGCCTCGGTCGACACAGCCACGGAGTGGCGATCGTCCCCCTGTTTTGAACTCGTTCATGGGAGCCCAGGTGTCTTGCATCTGCCCGCTGGTCAACCCTTGCACCTTTGTGGGGGTTGGGTGGGGCTGTCGCATAAGATGGCCTTTCACGTTAATCTGGGGGTGTGGCATTGTACATCGTGTGGCTGTTTTGTAACGAGCTCCTGTCCCAAGATCTCAAAGCGCCTTGCACTGGGCTGTTGACCCCCACCAGAAGAGAATATCTCCGACGGTTGGAGCGTGGGTTATGGCCTAAGGCGCTCACCCGAGCTCAACAGGCAGCTCGAGTATCGGGTGGCAAGTGACCCAGGATATCACCTCGTGATGGCGTCCACTCCACTCCACTCCCCTCCTCCTCCTCCTCCTCCTCCTCCTCCTCCTCCTCCTCCTCCTCCCCCTCCGCCACCTCCTCCTCCTCCTCCTCCTCCTCCTCCTCCTCCTCCTGCTCCTCCTCCGTCTCCGTCTCCTCCTCCTCCTCCTCCTCCTTCTCCTCCTCCTCCTCCTCCTCCTCCTCCTCCTCCTCCTCCTCCTCCTCCCTCGTCCCCGCACCCTACGAGCAGAAGCCAAGGCACCTGATACCCCTCCAAAGCAAGACACAGCCCCCGATGAGTAGCTTGAGTGGGACAAGCAGATCAGCCGCATGCTGCACTCCAGCACGCACCAAAGGAGATTCCCAACCATATCGCCACAACACTCGAAATTCAAACTCGCTTGATCGATCCACCCCTGTCTCTCCCATACGGTGCTTGAAATTATGTGAACACTTAACTTCGAAACCATGATGCAAAATAATTGTTCCATCCCCTGCTCCCCCTGTATCTGCGTACCCGGCTGCATCTGTCGTCTTCTTCCCGATAATCGTCCGCTTCGGTTTATCCGTCGCAATGATAGTCACGGCCGTTCCTCTTCCTCCTCGACCTCTTCTGGCCAATCCTTCTCCTGCATGCGGTGTTCCACTATCTGACCACTGATATTCCGAAACCCTACTGCCGCCCCACGGCGCACCAGGGGTGCCGACGGAGTCTTTTCCTTGAAGGCGGTGCTACGAAAGAAAATGTACAAACATGAGAAGCACTAGGTGTCCGGATGTTCAGCATACGATGGGCACACCCGAGATGACAAGACACTCGCAGTCACAATATAAGAAGTGCACCAGGTAAAACCACATCGGCGATTGCGTGCAGCGCCAGCGTTGATGAGCACTGTGACGACGCAGGTGTTCCAGGAGCGGAGCCATCAAGACATGTTGCGACCTCTGCATATGAAATGAGGTGTTTCTTGCTCGCCTGCACGTGCTCATGCTTCATGTGCCTCTGGCACGACTTACCAGCTTCGGAGTACGCGCGCATCAAGATTACCTTCCCCTTCCAATGTGTACACCTACATTCCCAAAACAATGCTGGCACTTCAGGAACCTTGCGCACCTGGCTTGGCACTCACATGGTGTGCCGCCCCGCCTGCCCTGTCGTCGCCCCGTCGCCGCCCCGTCTCCGCTCGTCGATATTGCGCCGCAAGATTGCACGACACAGCTTACACCACATGGATTGCTTAGCACAGACTGCACCTCACTGTTGAACGCATATTCGTTGCACCACGACGGTTGCACAACATAGCGCACAATCCAAACATGTATTGACAAGTGGCTAGTGCATGCCAAGGCTCTTACAAACACATGCGCAGGATGTGAGAGTGGTGCGTAATGGGTGTTAGGAGCGTGCGTTGTGTGGTGTGTGCTATGTGTGTGATGTGTGAATGTTGTGTTATGCGGCTTAGATGTGTTATGTGTGTGTGTTGTGTGTGCGGCGTGTGTGTGATACGTGTGTTGGGTGTGCTGTGTCTTGTGTGTTCGTTGTGCGTACGTGCGTGCGCGTGTGTGTGTGTGTTACCTGTGTGGTACGCGTGTTGTAGGTGTTGTGTGTGTTCTGTGTGTGTGTTGTGCGTGTGTGGTGTGTTAGGTTGTGTGTGCTGTGTTTATGTGTGTTGTAAGTTGGGGCTCGATTCAAGGAGGACGTATTCGACGAAACTACATGGTTGTAACAATCGTGTTCAACAGGGGTTCGTTTTGTGGAGCAAGTTCCGAACACGCCTGCGTTCTTTTATGGTCCGAGCTTAATATCAATGAATCCCAATGTGATGTGAGGGTGCTGTGTTACAATTGTTGGAAACTGCTGTGTCTTCCCCAAATGATACTTTGGGGTTGTTACGCCCCACATCCTAACTGGGGTTGCTGTTTTCTCTGGACACCTCGCGCAGGAACCCGTTCATCTCCTCCCCTTTCCCTGTTTTTTTCGCTCACATCCTCATCCACACTCTCACTCACTCACTCACTCACAGACTCATCACTCACCCACTCGCCCACCCGCTCGCCATCACACCATGACCATCACCATCATTATCACCATCACCGTCATCACCACGCACTACCGCATTCACCTCGCGCCCTCACAACGCACACACACGCTCACGCACACATTGTGTCTGACGCCTCCGGTTGTGACTCTGTCTCCAGCTCGATCTTCTTCTCCGCTCTGATGCAATAGATGCCTCTTGTTCACACCTCGCACGTCTATCGCCGTCATCGTCGTCGTCGTCACATATCTCCCTCTCTCTCTGTCTCCTCTTGCGACGATGTCCTTTTGCTTCCTTCGCGCGGCGCTCCGCTCAGAGTTCATCCTTAACCTTCTCGTTGGCGCATGGGGCGCATGTGCTGGCCCCCGCGTTGGCTAGGCCCTTGCAGCGCGGCTGCCTGCAGCGGGCGTAGTTCGCGTCGCGCATTCGGACGCGCAAATAGCATTCACAACAAAACCTGCCGCAAGCCGACGCCGCAGCCCAACTGTATCTCGAGGTGGCGGTCCGGGCAACGGCCGGCAGCACCATCGCGGCAGTAACGGTTGCTTGCGTTGAAATTATGGATGTCCTTGCCTGGAAGAATCGACTCCGTCGGGCAACGGCCATTCCTCTGTCAACCTTGCCCTTCTCCTCTTGTGTTAAAACAAACTGGCTGAGGTCGCATCCCTTGAACATGACGCATCTTCTCGGCCTCGAGTTGCGCTGCTCGGACCTCCCTGGCCTCGGTCATTTGGGCCTCTGCCTTCCTGGCCTCCGACATCGCAACGACTCGGGCGGCTTGTTCAGCCTCCCGTCTGCCCCAGGCAGCGGCCTCGCCCTCGACGGGGATGAGACGGTCTTCGGCGACACTGCGGGCTTCATCCCCCCTCCCAGCAGCAACAGCACGAGCCTCCTCAGCCTCAACATGGGCCCGATTCTGGGCAAATCTCGGTGCCAGCCTCAACCCGGATCCTCTCCGCTGTCTCGGCCTGGCTTGAGTCAGGGCGCTGCATCTGAAGCCGAACTTGTCCTGCAATCGCGAGCGCGAGAATGCGATCATGGATTCCCTCTGCTGGGCGGCCTGCCACGGTGCTTCTCGCGATTCGATGCGGTTATGGTTGGCTTGCGTAGTGCGTCCATCGCACGGGAAGTTCACATCGCATGCTTTGCAGGTCCAGAAAACGCGCATTCACCCGACCGCCCCGCTCATCGGGACCTAGCTGTGGACCCACAAAAAAAGTAGGTCGCCAACGATCACTTTTCACAGCAACCATGCTGGCGCCCGAAACGCCAACTCCGACCGAGGCGCTCGGTCTTGATGTCATCTGGTTCGCTGTGCATCGGTCGCTCCTCGTCCACGCTTCGGCCTCTCCTGACAGACTTTCCTCGACGAAGCTAGCTGGCAGCTGGTGAAATATCGCCGATCTCGTGTGCTTGTGATGGCGCCGGGCGGTGTCTTTTTGCAGCCCTCAGTCCATTCTCATCTCTGGTCCTCCTAGAACTGCGGGAAATAGCCCTAGAGTCGCTGTCCCTCGTGCCACCGCAGAGCTGAGGCTGCCCGACCTGTGCTGAGATCAGGGAGCGCGCTCTCGGGGCATCAGGGGTGATTTCTCGGTGACTCTTCGCTGCGCCCATGGACTCGGCCACGTTGGACGGCATCAGGACGCGCTGCGAACCGTAATCCACGCTTGCTGGATGATAGGCGCAGCTGTAAACCCACGGCGTGATGGCTCGCCCCCCTCGTCGTCTTCCTGTTCAGGGTGGATTCGGTGATCGTGTTCATCGCCACCAACGATTTCTCCACGCTCCATTTCGCTAATGTCAGCTTGAATTCTGTACGTGACATAAAAATTGCATCCTTCGATTTCGGCCCGCCCGTCCGACGGGAGATCCGTGCCAAAGGCTGATATGCACGCTCCTGGAGCATTCCACTCATCTCTCGACGGCGACGCCAATCGTCTGTACCTTGCTCACTCTCAACTTGTTCTGGCTTTTGCTTGGCACCCTGGGCATTGATCGGGGGAACAACGGATCCTGCGACACATGATCAAGATCTCGGAGGACTCTTGTCATCTCTTTGCGTCGAATTCTGAATCATGGGAGCGAAGATGTCGTGGCGGACGCGCGCGATCCTCCCTGGATCTCATATCGCATCTCGCGTCCATCTCATCAGGCACCTCGTAGATCAGCCAGAATCTCATATGGCATCTCGTCTCCACTGCATGCTGCCTTGCTCATCACATTGTAGCTGCGGTGGTAACTCTCACCAAGTCCACCATGGCGGATGTCACACTGCATACGGTCGAAGGGAAGCCTGAAATTTGCAAGGTGGTCGATGCAATCTGACATATAAGTAGTCTCGTCGCTCTCCTCCCCTAGCTCCTAATATCCCTTGGCGCTGACAAGCGACATGGCGGGCAGCGCGCGCCGCTCCTCTGCTTCTGCTGCCGTGCGCACGGTGCGCAAGGTCACTCAGCTGTTGAGCAAAATGCCCGCAAAGGCGAGCGGATGGTTACGCTTAAACAAGCAACGGAAGCAGAGGCAACGACTAAGAGTACGAATAGCGCCAGAAACAGACCCGACAAAAAACGTGCCGGGGTGGGGACAATTCGTGTGGCCCATGTTTATCGATGCCCTCCGAGATGGCAAGCAATCTGGGAAAAGTGGCACCAAGAGGTCTCCAAGAGCGCACACACAGCCTGCAACATGGGCGATACAAAAGTGGCACACATGGCCCAAATGAATTGTCAATGGGGCTCCCATAACAAACGCGCGCCCAAGCATTGATGGTTGACCCCTGGGTCTGCTCTGGCTGAAGCGGAGCTTCGCTTTGAAGGCTGCCCGCTCACTTTCATCCACAGCTAACTCTGAATCCTCCCTGACCAAGGAAACTCCACTGGGCATGGCCCTTTGCTGGGGCGGTAAGGATACGCAACGCGTCAACCGTATACAGTTCAGATACGATATGCATATACTCCCCCCCCATGACCCACAATACCTTCTGCTATGTGCGGCACACATCAGAGAATTTATGTTATGATAACAGCTCCCTCCAGTCCTCTTGACCGGGCGATCATATGGCCCGGCATGGCCAACCAGATTTCCGTGGCCTAGCGCACGTACGTTCCATCTGGTGTGCCGCCCGATCCGGCCCAATCACTTTCCCAAGTCAATCGTGTGAACCGGTCGGCAATGTGTGAGCTGATGCAAGAGTATGCATAAAAAGACCTCCGGCTTTCATCCGTTACCATGTACACATTGCAACGTAACAGAAACACTCCTGGCGTCGACCCCCTGCTTTCGACCCTCCCTTAACTCAAAAAATATGCCCTCTGTTTCCGACCGTGTACCCCCTGTCGCCTGTTGGGCACTCTCTGCCCTCAGGCTCTCTGGACCCTCCAAGATCTAGCCTTCACTGTTCTCTACCCCCGGCTCTCTCCACTCTAGCTACCAGGCTATACTCAAATCTCGGTCGTCTGCTCTATACCCTTGACATGTATATCTCTCGCTCTCTCTATGTATCTCTGTCTCTCTCTCTCTCTCGTTGTGTCTCTCTCCATCTCTCTTTATGTATGTCTGTCTTCCTCTATTTCTCAATCTCTCTCTCTCTCTCTTTATCCCTCTCGCCCTCTTTCTCTCTCAGCGGCCGCGAAGCAGCCTGCATTCCGCCCCAAGGACACTCCAAATTTGCCCTTTCGTCTCGCAGCGCGCCGAATCCATGAGCGGGGGGTCCGGGTCCGAAGCTGGCAGTCCGAAAGTCGAACACCCTTATCGGACGCAAGAAACACACGCCAAATCTCGTCCTCATGGGCCAAGGAACCCAGGAGGCCCGAACACAAGCTTCCACAAGGAGCCCAACCCTGAGACCCCAGGACGTCCCTCGATTATTGGTGAGGGAACGTCACGCCTTCCATCGCATAACAATCGAAATCCGAGAAACCCAGGGCACCCCAAGCAGGGTGTTTCTTTCGGGAGCGGCCAAGAGGGGGGTGTCCAAGAGGGGGGGGTGCAAATCATGACCGGCGGCATGTGCGCGGCCCAGCGGGGGGGCCTGGGACGTAATGAAATAAGAAGAGGCGCCATGAAATCTGAGGACATATCATGGCCCGCGCCGTGAGATCCGCCCCCCCCTAGTCATCAACCCCCCTCTGTTCCGCGCTCCCGAAAGAAACCCAGGGCACCCCAAGCAGGGTGTTTCTCGGGTCGGGCGAAAGGGGGGGATAGCAAAGAGGGGGTTTGAGAATCAGCTCTCGTAGCTGATTTTCCTGGCGCCTCCCGGCGCCGGGAGGCGGCCATGTATTCAGGAATGGGCCCCTCGGTGGGGCCGAAACCAGCTGCATGCAGCAGATTTCGTACCCCCCCCCTTTCCCAAACTCCCCCTTTCGCCCGACCCGATCTTGTCCGCTCCCGACAGCAACCCAGGGCACCCCAAGCAGGGTGTTTCTTGGCATGGGTCTCCGCGGTTTGGTAGTCCCCAAACGTGGTGGTGACAACACCTGGCGGTGAGTCTCGGGCGATTTGGTGTCACCACCCGGTTTGGGGACCCGTGCGGTTTTCCGAGGATGTCCCGGACACTGGTGGGTCCAGGAGTCACAAAACCCGGTGGTGACCCCGCGTCCCCAAACCCAGCGGTGACCTTTTTGGGGATTCCAGGTCGCCACCTGATGATGATGATGATGATGATGATGATGATGATGATGATGATGATGATGATGACGATGATGGGTTCCCGCCACCTGGTGTCTCACCACCCGGTTTGGGGGTTCCCAAGCGGTATCCCTCCCCTCCGAAGCAGCCGGGCCGAGGAGAGCTCGGAGCTGCCGCGGCAGCGCAAAGCGATTAATTAGCGGGGGCGCCGACGCTCTGCCACACGCGGAGGGCAGGGCACCCTGCTCCCGCCTCTCCTCCCCCCTGCCCCTATCCTCGTCCTCCTCCTCGTGCCTCCCCTTCCCTCTGCTCCACACCCCACCCCTCCCCACTCCCCTCCCCTCTCCCCACTCCCCACTCCCCCTCCCCACTCCCCCTCTCCATTGTATGTGTAAGGTGGCTAGTACAAGTAAAGTGGACGTTAGGAGCTATGAAAACAACAATATGCACTTGGAAGGGTTACATATGATGCAGAAAACAACTGTGATATTTAGATTTGTTTCTGATATGACAATGATGCCTAACGTTGTTGTGATTCGCTATTCGACGGCCGTACTGCATCTGACGTAATTGACCACGGCATGCCAAGTACATGTTCCGAGGGGCCAGCGTCGTCGCAAAAATCACATCACGAGAAACACCTAGGGGGCAGACAAGCTCACAGAAGCCCTGGAAAATGAAGATGGGCGCCAGAGCAGCTCTGACACATACCAATAACGATAAAATCAAGTCTCCCCCATAAGGCCCCAAAGAGCCCCCCGAGAACACCACGGAGAGGTCCAGATAACAGGGACACCAGAGAGCCCCCCAGGAGCCAGAGGAGAGCCCAACGATTTCCGAAAGGCCCCGCGGGAACCCCCATCCTAGGCATCTGGTTGCGCGCTCGGGCTGTGCATATCCGCGGGGGGCGGCAACTGACGCGGAGTTTTGGCCCACGGCTCGTCGGAAGACGAAGGCGAGAGGATCGAGGAACGACGAGGGAGCGGGAGAGGAGGAGGGAAGGGGGGATGGGGGAGGAGGATGCGGGACTGGGATGAGGAGGAGGAGGCGCAGGAGGAAGAGGAGGAAAACGAGGAAGAGGAGGAGGAGGAGGAGGAGGAGGAGGAAGGGATTGGTACAGGTAGGAGGCGGAAGGCAAAAGGACGGGCGAATGAGAGGTGATGACAATGCCGACTGGCGATTCCACTGTCCACCAGAAAACGTTGCACAACGTTCAACGTCGCATCGCAAATGTGTTCACACATCCCACGCGCCTGGCCGCGCGTCCCCTGGGCACTGGCAGCAACAGCTCTTGGGCGGACTCATGGCACCGAGCGAGGTGGCTCGCACCTCAGTCCACTAGGCGCATCCCCGCCGCCCATGCCGAGCATTTGTCAGTCACCCAGCCAGCAGCCCCACGAACGCACGCTGACAGCGTGCGCCTCAGGAGTCCGTCGAAGACCCCTTGGCCAGCTTCTTGAGGGGGAGGCCCAGCGTCGAGCTCGCTGCAGCTTTCTGGCTGGCCTCTGGCTCTGGGGCGGCCGTCGCTGCGTCGGCGCCCTTCTTCCCCTGCAGGCCCGTACGCAGGCGCTTCAGCAGCGCCTGCGGCAAATCCGCTTCTGCCACCAGAAGCTTGTTCTTCACATAATCCAGGGTCCCGTCGATCGCCTTCTTGTTGCCGTCGGTGGTGAGCATGCGGCTGGCGACGAGAGCTGCCCCGAAGATCACCGCCCTCTTGCGCACAGCCTCACCCGTCGCAGGCACGCTGTCCAATGCATTCTGCAAGGCGTCGCGCGTGGGGCCCACGAGCCAGTCTTTGCACTGCTGCACCGTGGACTCCAACAGGTGTTGCCAAGTCGGCCACTGGTTGGCCGCCAACTCGAGCTTCTTGGCGATGTTCACGACGTGCTGGGGCACCTCGGCGTCACTTCGAAGCCGCTCGCACTGCGTGAAGTCCCACGCCTCGATGGCCGTGACCGCGACGGCATCGTGCTTCTCGAAGTCGGACATTGTCTTGCTGACATTCATCTTCTGGCAGAGGCTGTTCAGGGCTTTCTCGAATTCTGCGCCGGCGGCAGCAATCCAGTCTACGATGTCATCCCGCGCTGCAGCCGCCTCTGGACATTTTGCATTGACCACGCGAACCTCGTCGCACAGCTTGGCGAGCGTGAAGAGAGCGCCGCCAGCTTTCCCCTGCTGCCTGAGGCCGTGCACGTCGCGGCACCGCTCTATCACAGGGAGGCTCCGAATCAGGTCTTTGCACTTGTCGGGGAAGAGCTCCTGGGTGTCCTGCAAGCGCGCGAAAACCACGGCGGTGAACGGGAGGCCGACGGAAAGCATGTCGACGAGCATCTGGTATATGTCCGAGCTGATGGTGCTCTGCTCCTGCCTCAGACGCCCGCTGATTGTAACGACGACGGAATCCTCGGAGCAGGTGTGCTTATGCGGGCCCGCCTCCAAGAACAAGGTCCACGCCGCGTGCAACTCATTCACGAACGCCTCGTCGAACGTAGTCTCTGTGCTGCGGTCGTACACTCGCTTCATGTTATGCAGCTCGATGCTCGCTTGGATGCGGATGGAGACCTCAAGGATGAGACTGTTGTGATGGACAGAGTAATCCGACATGCCGAAGTGCGTCAAAGCGTCAATGATAAAGCTCAATACCATAAACAGTACAACGCACCGCTCAGGCTCATCATCATGTTGATAGCCACTGGAACGATGAACTTGTCCGAGGTAGGTGGAGCAATGCAGCTCCGTGGTCAAGATCTTCTCGGCAATCGCGTCGAGCGTCTTGACCACGTCCTGAGAGGAACGGACGTCAGGGCAGGCACGCGCGCCCTCCCCAGGGGAGGGGGTGGACAATAAGCTTGGGGAAGGGGGGAGGAAGCAGGATGAAGAGGAGATGGAGGAGAAGAGAGGGTCAGGAAAATCAGAAACTAACGTCCAGGGAGGGCGCATGCCCCCCCCATCCCCCGTCCCCCCACAGCCTCCTCCCAGTTCCGATCCGCAATCTCCTGGGCCAACTTGTAGCCGCGATATGCACTCTCTGGGCTGTGCCCCTCGGGAGCTTCTGGGAGCCTCTAGGAAAAAATCGAGCGTTGCAATTGCGGGCCTCGGGGATGGCACGCGCACCCCCCTCCATGGAGTTGGGGGGCGCAGCGCAGCCTGCAACGACGCCTCGGACGACCCTCCGAAGCCCTCAAGAATATCCCCAGGAGGGATCCAGGACCCGACCTCTGGGCCTCACTATTGCAACCCTCGTTGCCACGAGCTCCTGCCTGTCGGACTGCGTGCCGCCCCAGGCAATGCCGACATCCTTGCGCGTGATGTGGAAGTCGCCCTCAGCGAAGTGACCGATGATCACATTGACCTGGTCAATGAAGTCATCGACCCGGAGCTGCTCGACGAAGCGCGCGACCTCATCGAGCTTCTTGTCGTTCTCCTCGCAATACTGCCCCATCGTGGTGCACTCGTCGTGGAACGTCTTCACGGCGTCCCAGGCCGTCTTCCCATGCGAGGTGGCATCGCCGCAAAGTGCTCTGAAGTGGGTCTTCGCGCGCGCGCTCAGGCGGCCCTGCTCGTGAGACAGGGCGACGCATTGCATGCGGAGTTCCCTGTCCTCAACACGGGTTCCTTCGGCCGTGGCCCACTTGAGCGCGGAGCAGCACACCGACAAACAGTGGAGGTCCAGCGCAGGCTGCGTGTAGAAGCCGTCAGTGGAGTCCGTGCCGATCAGCGTGTGCACGGGTGCCCATGTCGTCGGTAGATGCTTGCGAAGCCCCTCCCCAGTTTGAATGATATCATCGAGCTTGCTCACGCACGATACTTTGTCAACAAGGCTGAACGCGAGGCTTCGCTGCGACGCCAATGCGCTCTCAGCGCCCAGGAAGCTCAGGCTCAGCGTCGAGAGCGCGTACCATTGCAGGCCATCAGGCCCAAGGCAATTTGAAGGTCGTTCACGTCCTTGTTGATGCTGTTTACCACAGTGTTCGTGCCTGAGGTCAGGATCTGCGTGAGCAGCTGGTTGGGGCATCCACGAAGCACGTCGCTGTGTCCCTGTGGTAACGGTTCTGACGCATACGTTGAGAATGAAGTCCTCAAGTTCTTGACCACGTCGCTCGCCATCTCAACCTCCTGGGCGAGGTCGAACAACTCGGTGCTGACCTTGAGCGCAGCCTCCTTGCACGGATCAGCGTCGATCGCACCGCACTTCCTGGCAGCGCGGTGCAGCTTGCCAACCAAACCGTGGAGCTCTTTGTAGCCGAACTTCGCCTGCGCCTTCCACTGGAACTCAAATGTGTACTTCTCTTTAGTTTAGTCTCTCAACTCCTTGCAGTCATCAATTGTCGCCTGGTGCCTCTCGCCCTTCACCCTTCTACTCTTTCGACTCGCCGCGGGACCGCCTCGCTGGTTCTTCAAGTTGCCTTCCATCGAGGGCTTCACGTTGACGACGGACGTGGGGGCCTCTTCGAAGTCCCCCGCTGCGCTGGCTGCTCCGGAACCGCCCTCGTCCTCCTCGGAGTCGGGGGGGGCCGAGATGGAACGCCGAGAAGTCAGGGCCCCGATGCGCGGGGCCGACGGTGCTGCTGGTCCAAAGTCGCTGCTGGTCGCCGCCGAGCTGCGCCCCCAGGGCCGCGAGCCTGCGGCGCGCACTTCGAGCGCGTGCGGCGCGGGGCCCCGCCGCCGCGAACAACGGCATCTGCGTGTTCCTGTTCGAGGAGCAGCATGTCGACGTGATCATCAGCGGCCCGCTTCTCGCCATGCTTCGCGACGTGCTCCACGCCCTTCTCGTCGCAGACCTCTCTCTTGTAGTAGGAGCGGTCGTCGCTGGTGGCTGGCACGTCAACGCACATGACCTTCTTCTTGTTGGGCCTCACAGTGTAGTGGTAATTCTCCTTGATGTACGATATGACAAGATCCTCATTATCCTTGGTCTTGGCGAAGGGCAGCTTCTCGTCTTTTACAGGGGCCCAGAAATCAATAAACTGGCCCTCCTGCCATTCTATGTCCTTCTGTGTCCGCGGTTCCTTCACGAAGGTGTCGCAGTCGATGTAGTCCCCCACCCTAGCGCGCTCCTCCACGCCAGTGACAAGAGAGCCCCTCTTTTCCAAGAACTTGAGATTGAGGTCGCCCGATTCGTCTGCTCTCATCTTGGCCTTAAGGTCATCCAGTGGTAAGCCGAAGTACTTGATCCTCGTGCGCATGCACCCGTAGCACTCGGAGCCCTGAGGGGAGCCGCGGCAATTATTGGGGATCTTCTCGGACGCGGTGTTGAGCCTCCTGCGGGGGGGGGATGCCGCGCCCGCCCTCATCGCCCTCCTCGTCCTCCACCTCCGCCCCCCCCTCCTCCGCCCCTCCTCCTCCGCCCCCCCCTCCTCCTCCTCCGCCCCTCCCCTCCTCCTCCGCCCTCTCCTCCCCCCATCTCCCTTCTCCCTATTCCGCCCCCCCCCCCCCCCCCCCCTTCTCGTCCTCATCATCCTCGATCGTTTCCCTCCTTGTTGGGAGACTTATGCGGGCCCCTCGGCCCTCCAATCAAGTAGCTTCTCGGGAGGATCTGGACGTTGGACCTGCCGATCAGGAGAATGAGTGCTCTGGTCGCAAAGAAGGCACGCGTGGGCGGGCACGAGTAGCAAGTCGTTCACCCCAAGCACGTACTTCGTCTGCTGGGCCTTCACGATGTTCGGCGCCATCTGATCTCTGATCTGGGAGGTACGTCGCGGCGCAGCTGCGGCCGCGCAACCCCAGCGCAGCTGGCGCGGCACCAGGGTGCAGGATGAAGGCGCTGGCCTCCACTAAACATGCGAAGCTTGAGCCAAAACGGCTGCGAATCCACGCCAGCCCACGTTGGCCTGCGCCCGCAGAGGGCAGGCGCAACACCTGCGATATTCGTTTTCATCGCAGCCCCCCCCCCCCCCCAGCGGGGCCCAAGACAGCCCCAAAAGGGGCCCGAGGATTGCAAGAGGCCCCCGAGGGATGGGATGGGCAAACAATCAGCATTGATAATTTAGGTGTTTGGAATGGGCCCAATATGTTCCGAAGAGGGCCCCTAGATGAGATGGGGCCCGAGAGGGGCCCATGGGAGCAAGGGCGAACAAAACGCAATGGAGCGTTGCGGAGCTACTTCGCGACGATGTCTCACGCGAAACACCCGACCCGCCCTGCGGCAATAACCTCCGCGCGCGACGGGGGGAGCGAGGACGGGGGGAATTATCTAGAGGGAAAGGAGGAAGATGAGGGCGGAGGACGAAGGAGGGGGGAGGACGGAGGAGGAAGGCCAGAGGAGGGCGGGAGGAGGGGGGGCGGGGGGAGGGAGGAGAGGGGGGGGGGGGGGGGCTGATGCGAGGGGTCGGAGGCGGACAGATGACGATGTTTCTTTTTGTTCCAGCAAGGCCCTGTCGAAAGGGCGCCGCGCACGTGCGGTATAACCGCCGCCGTCTGATCGAGAATCTCACTAGAGCCTAGAGCGTCGAGCTCGCGCAGGCATGCCAACATACAGGCATTGCCCCGATAGAGTAGATGGGGCAAGAAAGGGAGGAAGTCTTCTGAAGACGGGGTGGTGGGGGTGTGTGTGTGGGGGGGGGGGGGGGCACGAGGACGGGTGCGGCGAGGAAACAGGAACGGGCAGGAGGCGGGAAAAGAGAGCACCGCTCTCGCGAGCCTCTCGCTCGCGCGTGGCACCACAACCCACTGCCAGTCAGACTCAGTCCGATCCCGAGGCTTGTGCTTCATCCCGCTCCGCCGTGCTGTACGCCTGAGCGCGCTCAGCCGTCTCCAAACTCATCATCTGGTCGGCGCTCTCAGTCGCCTTGGTAAGTTCCTGAGTGGCGCGGCGGACTGTGGTGTGCAACATTTTGGAGCGCTTCCTGAGCCAGTAGATGTGAGTGTTGGCGACCCTGAGCTTCTTGGCAATAATCAGGATTTCCTGCGCATCGCAGGCTTTGTAACTGGAGCGCGCGCCATCTGCTGCGGTTCGGACGCGACTAGTCGCAATCGATGATGCTGCTGCTGATCCGGAACCTGAACGGCAGTGGCAAGACGGCGACGACGGTGGGGCGACAACGCCCTGGAGGATGGGAAGTCCAAGTTAGGTGGCGTGTCGCTGGATATGTGGATTACAACTGGGTCGAAGCACAAACGGCCTCCAACGGCCCCTGCGGACACAACGCTGCTCATCGATCCCAACGTTTTGGCGGCGCAGTTGCCGTCAGGGGGGAGAGGGGCGGGGCCAGGGAGGACATGGGGGGGGGTGAGACGGAACAGGAGGGAAAGGCGGAAAAGGGAGTGGTTTGGGTTTCAACTGCGGCCCGCGCACGCTGGGAGGAAAGTCAGTGAGCCAAAACGGTCTGGAGTAGGGCGGCGTCGTTCGGCCAGCTAGGGCCGAGGGCGGGATGAAGAAACTAATGAGGGATGAAGGAGGAGTGGCGGGCAGGGCAACGAGGGCTTGGGTGGGGCGACCCAGGCGACGGCGGTCAGGGGGGAAGGGAAGGCAAGGGGAGGGTGGGGAGCGAGCGGGGGGGAGGTGGAAGGGAGCAACGACGTCGACGACGATGCCAGTGGCGCGGGGGTGCCAGCAATGACCAGGGCCAAGCGAGCAGCAGAAGAGGATTCTGTCCATCGGCCGCCACGTGCTCTTAGTCTGCCTCCAGGACACTTGGAACAAAGGCGAAACACCTCTCCCGAAGATCACCAGGGGGCCCTCCGAACCCCTCCCTTCCTCTCCCCCCATCGCCCTTCCAAGGGCCCACGGATGTGCAGTGTTCCGAGAGCGCCCGGGCTGTCCGAGGAGGCGGGCCAGGGGGGGG